GTCCCCTGTGCTGCGTCTCCTCCTCCCCGTGCTGTGCGGCGGCTCCGGGGCCCGGGAGGGCGGGCGCCTGTGGGCGCTGCTACACCGAGCACGGCACCATGGGCGCCCAGCGCTGCCTGCAGCTGCTCTGCAGCTACTCCACGCCGCAGGTGCTTGTGGTGCGTGACTGGCGCCTGGGTGCCGTGTACCGAATGCTGCAGCTCCTCGTCCTGCTCTACTTTGTTGGGTGAGTGCAGGGTGCCAGGGGGATTCCTGGGGAAGCTGTCGTGCTCAGAGCGGGGGCACAGAGCCCTGCCCTGCTGGGGTCTCCCTGTCTCCTGTGCCACTGCCCCAGCCACTTCGCACCCTGGTTTCGGGGACTGGCTTCTTGCATGCATCTGTCTGAGACTCCCTGAGGGACCGTTCCCAGGTGTCGGGAATCCTGCAAGCAGCATGAGATGCGTTCCGGGGCTGGATGCTTGGGGATCTGGGCAGCTGTGTGGGATGAGCAGTGCCCAGTGTTGCAGAGCCCTGCCCGGGCTTCCTGCAGCCCCAGGTCCTGCCCTGCCTGGGCGATGTGACCTGGCATTGGGAGGACGTCCTGGCCACCAGGCTGGGACGGCTGGTGCTGCTGGGCTGCCCCTGCTTGGCTGGGCAGAGCCGCACGGCAAAGGTTGTTTGCCCTCGCTCCCGGTTGGCAGCAAGGACCCGGCCCTGTCCCCATCCCCTCCCTGCCTGGGCAATGCCGTCACCTCCCCTGGGCTCCGCAATGTGCTGCCGGCGGCCGGAGTGGGCTGTGTGCTGGTCCGTGCCCTGGTGCGGTCCCTTCCCGGGCCGCAGCGCAGCCGTGGCGGAGCTGGCGCTCTCCAGAAGCTGCTCAGGGCCAGGTAATGGGGGTCCAGGGGTTTGCATGCGATAGGTGACGTGGCCGGTGAACAACCTGCCCCAGCAGAGCCCTCCCGCACTGCCTGCTGCTGTCACGTAACCTCCGATGGCAGCAGAGTGCACATTTCCCAGCCGCTGGTGGCCCCTTCTCCCCTTCTTCCCCCCAGGTACGTGTTCATCCTCCAGAAGGGCTACCAGGAGTGTGAGACAAGCCCGGAGAGCTCTGTCATCACCAAAGTCAAGGGTGTGACAGAGTCACCAAGCAAGGTGTGGGATGTTGGGGACTACGTGGCCCCCCCCGAGGTGAGGCGCTGGCCCTGCTGTCCCCTTGCCTCCTCCTGCCTCCCTTACCACAGTGCGCGGGTGCCGTGGCCCTGGGGCAAGGACTGTGTCTTCCTCCAAGGACTCGCAAAGTGCCCCAGATGTCCCCAGAGATGGTTAGATTGTGCTATGTGATGCTGCCTGCTCTGGGGTGAATGCTGCCTGCATGGGGACTCCTGCGGCCCCTGCTCCAGTCCCAGCTCTGTCCTTGGCTCCTTGGCTCTCCTTAGCCCTAGCCCGGGGCTGGGTATTTCTGGTTGTATTCCTGGTGCTGTGGGGAGGCAAGGGGTCTTGGGGCCTGGCACAGAGCCCTGGCAGAGACCCGTGGCCTGACCCAGCCAGGTGCTGCCTCCCTGCATGGGCAGCCTTGGGCCTCTGTGGTTTAGGACCCCAGGATAGAAGAGGGGATTCTCAGACAAGGGCAGGGAAGGGCTGATGTTCACCTTGTCGTTTGCCCATGCAGTTGTTACCAGCTGCAACTCTTTGGAGCAGCGGGGGATCATCTTCGTGTCCCTCAAAGGCTGGGGTGACACTGAGCCTTGCCAGACTCTGCACGCGAGAGCTGGCAGGAGTAACCAGTGTCTGACACTGGGCTCAATGATCGGGCTAAGTCAAGGGTCCAGCCGAGGCTTGCAGCCCCATTTAGCATTATCTGTCCAGGAGGGGAGAGGGGCTGACGGCCTCTCTGGGAGAGTCTGGGGGACTTCCAGGGTCACAGAAAGTCTGTCATGGAGATGCTGAGCCCGATGAGTCCCCTCATGATGGCAATAGTGAGGGCCGTATTAGAGCAAGATATTGTGGAAAACTGACCTTGAAGGCAAAATCTTCCTTGCTCTTGCACTGAAGCAGCTGGGAGCTCCCAGGATGCAGAAGATTTGGGGGACAGTGGTGACACTGGCGTGGGTGAGGCACAGTCCTGGAGGTTCTTCCTGTCACTGCCGTTGCCATCAGCATTTTGCTGTCTCCCAAGGGCTGAGGTTGGCTCAAGCCTGCTGGGTACAGCAGGGCTCCCTGGGGCGTTGCTGCAGGATCAGCTCTGGGTTTGGTGAAGTGCTGCAGTGGGTGATTTCCACGCCTGTGCCCTGTCACAACGTGGACGTGCCATGGTGCGAGCATAGGTGCACACATGGGCTGTCACTGCCATGTCAACACCCTTGTGGCCCTCAGCTCTTCTGGTGGCTTCGTAGGGCGGCAGCACCTTCAGCATCATCACCAGAGTGGAGATCAGCCCTGCCCAGATGATGGACACTTGCCCCGAGGTGAGGAGGGCCCGGGCTGTGCGGATGTGGGTTACAGGGGTAGGTGGGCATGAGGCAGTGCACAAGGTGCCCCGGTCCCTCTGTAGCCACCATGGGCTTCTACCAGGCGCATGACCTGGCCATGTCCCCTGCAACCCTGCAGAGTCTGACAGTCCCAGGTGCCGCGTGTAGCTCCGACCAGAACTGCCCCGCTGGGGACATGGACGTGCTGGGCCACGGTGAGCCGCAGTCGGGCAGCGAGCGGCGCTCTGCCCTGCACAGCGTGTCACGGAGCGCCCGGCCTCGCAGGGGAGAAGACAGGGCGCTGTGTGCCCAGCACTGCCGGCCCCGGCAAGAGCTGCGAGATCCTGGCTTGGTGCCCTGTAGATGGAAGCAGTGTCAGGTACCAGCACCAGGGAGGGAACTAGGCAGCGGGGAGGATCGTCCTTTGGCAGGATGGAGCAGGTCCCTAAATTCTGGCAGTGCCGTGTCCCGCTGGACACCAAGGGATGCTCAGGGTGGGACGTCTTGGGGGGGCTCTTGTGGGGCTCGGCCCCTGCAGCAATGGGACGCGACCCCGGCAGGGGTGGCTGGCACTGGCAGTGCCAGCGGGCGCTGCTGCTCCGCGAGCGGCCGCGCTCAGGTCTCTCCGCAGCGAGTCCCTGGCGCAGATGGCAGCGCAGTTCACCATCCTCGTCAAGAACAGCATCCGCTTCCCCCGCTTCGGCTTCTCCAGGTGAGTGCGGGGACACTGCGGGGTGCGGGGCCAGGGCAGGCAGCGGGGGCCGTGTCCTGCTCCGGGCTGCCCCATAGCACCGGGCTGGCCTGTGGGGCCTGGAGAATGCAGGACTGGGAGGCAGAGCCTCTGCCCACGAGAACGAAGCGCCAGAGGAGTGTGTGTGCAGCAGGCAGGACGTTCCACACGCGGACGGGGCCCGGGGCAGGAGCGGGGCAGCGCCAAGGGAAACTGGTCACCAGGGCTCAGCCTTGAGGTATGCCTTGGGGAGAACAGGGTTAAGGTGCTACAAGAGCGGCCTGCGCTCCCCCGCTGAGCCAAGAATCCCAGAGCAGCTGGGCTCACCCTTTGCTCTTTGGGCTAGTGACAGCGCGGTGTTGGTTAATGACCGCGGAGGCACAGGCGGATGGCACAGAGTGGGTGCACAGCCGGCAGCCCCTCGCCCCGGCCGCGCTGCCGTGTCCCGGGCAGCTCCCGTCAGAGCTGTGCGGGGCCGGCGGTGATGCTGATCCTCCTGCGCGCTGAGGCCATCCCGCCAGCAGGGACCCGACCCGGGAAGCGACAGTGACGGCAAGGCCAGCATCGCTGGGGCAAAGTCCCTGTTGCGTCCGTAGCCCTGGGGGCTGCCTGTGACTTTAACCACCCTTTTGGCCCCAGAGGATCCGGAGCAGCTTTCGCTTCCCGGACAACCTTCATATTGACCCCTCAGGGGAGGAAACACAGCCGCTTCCCAGTGGCTTCTTCCAGCAGCCGCGTGTGCTGGGGCAACTCTCTTCGTTGCTGTTGGCTCGTGTTTCTCATAGGAATTACAGTGCACCAACCCAAAGGAATTCCATTCCAAAGGAATCTCTCATGCTGGTATTTCGTCCCACCTTGGTGGCACGCTCTACCTCATGGCTCTCGGCTCCTGCACCCCTTCCACGCAGCTGCTTTCAGGCACCCTCCCTACTCCTTGTGGCCCTTGGAAGCGGGTGGTCCCGTGGGGCAGTTTATCTGGCCTGGAACCTTACAAACCAGCCCGTGCGTGCGGACTATCCAAAAAGCACCGGCAAGGCTAGTGCCTTGGAGGCAATTCCTCTGAAGCTGACTGTGTCCCTCAATATCACGATGGTTTCAGATAATTGTACGCTCATGGCTGGGCGTGCGGCAGTTCTGGTTCATGGCCCCGTGCTTGCATACCACTACGGTCATGATCTGAATGCCCCCTGGTGCTTTCCGATCCCAGATAACCCAACAAATACCCACCAAAATGAAGACCCTTACTCCGTTGGTTGCATACGGATGGGATTGGCAGCGGAGCTGGGGTTTAATGCGTGGTTGGGGAGCATCAAGGCACGAGGCAGAGACGCGAGGGGCTGTGCTGCTGCGCACCAGGGCTCGGCGCTTCTCTCCACAGGAGCAACATCCTGACTGCTGAGAGAAGCTACTTGAAGAGCTGCACCTTCAACGCCACCTCCGGCCTCTACTGCCCCATCTTCAAGCTGGGCTTCATCGTGGAGCAGGCCGGAGAGGACTTCGCGGAGCTGGCCGAGAAGGTGCCGTGTGCGGGGGAACCTTGTGGCTGGGGGGCCCGGCAGGTGGCACGAGGGAGGCTGTGGGGCACCAGGTGGGCGCTGTGCCAGCCCCACTGCTTCCTCCCACAGGGCGGCATCATCGGCATCATCATCAGCTGGGACTGTAACCTAGACCTGCCCGGCACTGAGTGCCGGCCCCGCTATTCCTTCCGCCGCCTCGACGCCAAAGCAGCCTCAGCTGCCCCGGGCTACAACTACAGGTGACGGTCCTGCCCCAGGTGCAGCGGCACACACTGCCCTGCATCCTCCTCCATGCCCAATGCTGCCACCGCCGGGCCCTTGTGTCCCCCACAGGTTTGTCAAGGATTACAGCTGGAAGGGCACCCCCCGGCGGGTGCTGATCAAGGCCTACGGGATCCGCATCGATGTGATGGTGCAGGGCCAGGTGGGAGGGCACAGGGGCTGGCGAGGGGCACGTGTTCCCACGGCGGCCTCACGGGGGGCTCAGCCTCCTTCCTGGCTGCCCCTGCACGAGGGGGAGCCTCCTTCCTAACTGAGCCTGTCCCTGGTGCCAGGCAGGGAAGTTCAGCCTGGTCCCTACTGCCATCAACGTGGCCACAGCCCTGACCTCGCTGGGACTGGTGAGTGCTGGTGGGGGCAGAGCTGGGACCGCTCGTGAGCGCCCGGCCCCCACGTCCCGCTGCCCCGGCGCAGGGCTCCTTCCTCTGCGACTGGATCTTGCTGAGCTGCATGAACAAGCAGCGGGTGTACAGCAGCCGCAAATTTGAGGAGGTATCGAGAGTGCCCGGCCTGGGAGCCGCCGCCAGGGCTGGCCTGCAGGGACCAAGCGCCCATGTCCCCGCTGCAGGTAGTCCTCGTTACTGTGTCCCTGTTGCAGGCAGAGCCCCAGCTGGAGGGAGCCGCGGGGCCAGGCTGCGGCGATGGGGAGCCAGCCCTGCGCTGAGGCAGCTGCTCTCCCACCACGAAGCTGTCTGGGACACAGGGGTATCTGCTCTCCTGGTGCTGCCGCGATCCCCTAGGAGCCACGTCCCCTTCTCTCCCCTCCAACAAGCAGCTCCAGGCAGGTCCTGGTGCTGCAAGAGCCTGGGGGGCGGCAAGAGCTCAGCAGGAGGGGGGATCTGCTCCCCCTGCCCGCTACATGGCAGCAGCAGCAGGATGGGGACGGGGGCAGTGCCAGAGAGGAGCAGGCTCTGCTAGCACCCAATAAACCACAACTGCTCAGCAGCGCTGCCTGCGGCTGTTTGCTGCAGGGGTGGCACCGGCGGCTGCGAGAAGGAGGAGGGTTGGGGAGGGGGAGGACAGCCCACAGCCTCCTGCTGCACCAAGACCTCCTTGCGCTGCCCTGGCCGGGTCGGGCTGTGTCCTCCTTCCCCTCCACTTTGGGGCGCGAGAGGAGCCGCCCTTGTCCTCCGTCCGAGAGCAGAGGCGGCCTCCTCCATGACCAAGGGCAACACAGAGAGGGGAGGCCCAGGGCTTGGTGGATGCAGCAGCTGAACGCGAGCAGCTGCTCCCCTTCCAGCAGCTCATCCCCCCCGGCCCCCGGGAGGAAGGAGGGAGGCGGAGAGGAACCGCCTGGCACAGGCCGCAGCCCCTAGAGACCCTGTTCCCGGAAAGCCCAGCCTTGCAGCAGCCCTTAATGTGATCACTGCTCCATGCAATGCAGTTAGGGTCAGGTTTCCCTCTCCCTCCAGGCCAGCTCATTTCCTCCAGGTCCCACCCTGAAACCCCAAACCCAGTGCAGACCCCTCCTGTTGCTTTCGGCAGGCCTGGGTGGAGGGCGCAGAGGGAAGGACGGGGCCCACTGCCAAATAGCCCTAATACAAACCAGTACTAGTACAAAATAGTACTAATACAAACACATATAGTATAAAAGTGAATGAAAGTGCAGAAAAGAATTTTCAATAAAGTTTGGGGAAAGCATTGAATAAAAAAGGAAACGGCAGAAGTAGCTGAACCACTGGTGTTTCAGAAGACCCAGAAACCTGGATCAGTTCTGGCCCCTCTCCTGCTTTCTCGGGGCTGCAGGGGAAGCCCAGTGCTGTTGCCCTAAAGCTGTAGCAGGGCTCAGATGGGGACAGCTCCCTCGCTCCCCTTCCTGGCAGGCAACAGCCTGGCCTTCTCCTCCAGGCATCCTGCCCCGCACTCAGAGCGGGCGGGTGTAGGGGGTGCCCACAGCTCCCTGCCCAGAGATCCAGACATGCTGTCTGCGATGCATTTAATTAGATAAAACTCCACATTAAAACCAGAGGGGTCCAGCCTAAAACCATAGAGATCTACTGCTGACAGCGCAGATTCCCAGTCCAAACTGGGCTCCTGCAGGGCTCTGGCAAATGGTCCCCAAAGAGCAGTTCCAGCTCCTAGGAGCCTTCCCCGCTTGCTCCCCCAACGCAGCACGAGGCTGGGAGCAGAACAGCCCCAGCACCTCTTAGAGGCCCCAGTACTTCTTGGTGTCCCCAGTGCAGGGGGGACACAGTCTCACAGTGTTAGGAAGGTGTCCGGCTTCGCCAGGGTCCCTCTCGGAGCACAGAGCCTGCTCCTCAGATGCTTTCCAGAGGAGGTGAGAGCGATGCCCAGAGCCGATGCCGCAATAAAGGCGGCCGAGAGGACATGTTCATCCCGTCAGTGCTGCAGCCGGGGGTTCGTGCGCAGCAGCCACTCGATGGTTTCCAGCAGGTAATCCATGCTGTAGTGCCGAGCGATGTTCTTGAAGACGTTGATGTGCTCCATGAAATGCTGAGGGAGAGGGAAGCAGTGAGGGAGGGCTGCCCTGCACACCCGCTGTGCCAGGCAGGGAAGAGGGAGCTGAAAGGGCAGGGGGGAGAGGGCCAGCTCCAGCCAAGCTGGAATCACAGCGTTTTTCATTGTCCATCATGGGGTTGGACCTGGTGGCATGGCGCACACGTACCTGGGAGGAAATGGTGAGGGCAAAGTCTCCAGCGCAGCTGCAGTACACGGGCATGTGCGTCTCCTTCACACCATGACACTTCTTGCACACCTAGAGGCACAAGGAGTCTCAGCTGGGGCAGGAAACAAGGCTGAGCAGCTCAGCCCTTCGTCAGGGCTCTCTGGGGACCACCAGGGACACAGCGACATCCAGACAGACATGGGCTGTGGCCATGCGCTGAGCAGCAGCAGGGAACCAAACCCCCCTCCCCACCTTCCCCCTGCACTGGATCAGCTGGGGACAAGGGCAGGCTGCTCTGTTCCCTGGGCCATCCTGTCCCCAGCAGCTGTGGCACCAAGGACAGGCTCCTGCAGCAGGGCAGCCCGCTGCTCACCAGGTCCTGCAGCATGAAGGCCATCAGCTTCTTCTGTAGCGCCTCCACCAGCGCCATTTCGATGGAATCCGAGTCGTACCGGGCCTGGCAGTTGGAGCACACCCAGCCGGGCAGCACGGAGGCATCCTAGGGGCAGGGAGAAGGCAGCTGAGCACAAGTCTGATTCCTCCCAAGAGGGAGCAGGGTCCAGGCTCAGCCCTGGCCACCAAGCAAGAGCATCCCGAGAGCCCCAAGTGCCAGGAACGCAGAACGAGCTTCTAGGGATGGATGAATCATCAGCCAAAGCCTCAGGACACTTAAAACTATCGCAGGCAGCTAGGAAAGGGGGTGAGCAGAAAATGACCCTTAAGGGAGGTTGTTCACTGGCACAGAACCAAGCAGAGCTGCAAAGTAAAAGAGTTGAAAAGGTGGAAGAGGCACAACATGCGAGAGCGTGACAGGCCTAGAGGAGGACCATGCCAGGGCCTCTGGTGTCCCGAGGAGGGACAGAAAACATGCAGGCTGTGTCCTGGGAAAGGAAGGCTGTACCTGGGAGAGGGCAGGGTCCTTGCACAGGTCCAAGTCCCTGCAAAAATTGCAGTTCCTGCAGATGACTTCAGGGAGCACGTAGGAGCGGCAGGGGTCCCGAAACTGGGCTTCTTCTGAGAACTCGCCCACCTCGATGAGGCGCAGCAGGTCCCTGCGCAGCTTGTTCACCTGGTTGGTTATGTTGGCATCCAGGGACAACACCTACAGCAGAAAGTGCCAGGTGAGCCCACAAGCAGAGAGGAGGAGAGGGTCCTCGTGGGGACTCACTCTGTAATGTGGGAGTGCTGGCGGGGCAAAACACACCGGTTGTAGAACTGCAGCAGATTCCAGGAGGAAATCCATGGCACATTAGATATCCGTAGAACAAAGCTTCAAAAAAAATGGTGCCCAACCCAACCCGCTGACCTTGCAGACATATTTGATGAATTCTAGAGCTGGGTTATTGAGCGGCAAGTAGGAGCCAGGCAGCACTGGGAACATATCTGAAGGCTCAGTAGCATTACGGGAACCAGCCATCTTCTTCTGAATCTTCTGGGTGATGGTGAAGAAGCTCTGGGTGAGCTCGTTGGCCACATAATCCTGTGAGAAAGTGATCATACCTGGAAAGAAGGGGAGACAGCACTTGAGCCAAAGGGAAGCACGTGAGGATTGCAGGGCGGGCAGCTGTCCCCTGCAGCCGGATGAGCCCAGCAGGGCGAGGGTTGTCACAGCTGCCTGCGGCTCTTGGCCGCTCCCGGGCTCCTTGGTCTCACCAGGCATGGCTCCCGGCTCCGCGGCGGGCTCCTGCGAGACCTGGCTGGTGGTTCTCCTCTTGATGGGAGTGCTGCCGGGGGCGCTGCGCCGCAGCTCCTCCTTCATGCTGTGGTACACGGCCACGACGTAGGCTGGACACACACGAGAGCAGAGCTCAACGCGCGGCCCGTGATGGGAGAGGTGCACAAGCACCTCTGCGCCTGCTGACTCTCCCCCGGCACTGGTGACTAATGAGGAATGTGTCTTCTCTGTGCCAGCTCACGCTGGAGCTGCAGCAACCCAACCCATGATATTGACAGATGTGGAGGTGGCTCCTGCTGCACCACACCCAGCACACTGCAGTCTTGCACTACAAGGATAGTGCAAGACTGGATCAACATCTCTGGATCACCATCAGATCCCAAGAGCTGCAAGAAGCTGCAGGGGCTGCTGTGTGTATGGCTTGGACAGCAGGCTGGAGATAGCTCTAGTCAGAAGTACCATTCGAAGCAGGACCAGGGACCACGAGGCCCACTCACCCGACACAATCATGAGGAAGTAGTTCTGGCAGGAGGCAGCCTCAGGGAGGAACTGCACAATATTCCAGTTATTCTCCAGCAGCTCCTCCACATTTGCCTCTCCATTCTCCTCTTCTTCCTCCCTGTCCTCCTCCTCCTCTTCACTGTCATCATCCAATACTTGGCTCTTGCTGGTGTCCTTCTGCAATGGAGCACAAGCCATGCCCAGGTTGCTTCCCTTTTGGTGGGCGACATCACAGCATTTCCCCATGCCCAAGCTCAACCCAACTCCTGGCGAGCACCCAGGGGTGCTCAACTCATAGCACCCTCCTTCCCATCTCTTACCTCCCCGTAGTGGATGCTAGAACGCACTTTTCCCTTGATACCTCCATAATTTGCTGGATCCATCCAGAGCAGGAACTCCCAGCAACGGGAGAAGGAAATAGTCAGAGAGTGAAAGATCTCCTTTGAGTGGATGCTGGAGGGAAGAGACTGCAGTTACACGCAACATTGGCACCCTCTCTAGCTGATATCCTTCCCCATATGAGGAGCAGGGGAGCGTTAGCAAGAGAAGGGTTCACTTCTTACACTCAACCTCGCTTCAGGGAATGGCCTTGGCATAAATTCCGCAGGGCAGTTAGCAGCAGTGCTAGCAGCTGCAGAGGAAGCATACCCAAGCCTCGAATGCCTATGCTTGTGTCAAGGGTGCCTGTCCTAGGAGTCTGGACATCATGGCTGGATGCGGAGAGCTGGCCAGAGTACGAGACTGGGTGGAATGCAACTGCTTATGAACTCCTAAAGGTCTCTTCTGGATTCAATCATACAGGTATTTTTGGAATACTGCCCCATACACCACAGCTACATGACAGACCCCTTTTCCAGGCACGATGGCGAACCAGGTGGCCCTGCCCCTTCAGTTAACTTAGGGAGAAATGCAGTGCCAAGGTCCAACAGAAGGCAAAAATCAGCATCTCCCTCCTTTCCGTGAGCCGTGTTTTAGGTTGGCATCCAAGAGACTATCTCCAGGCCTGGCTTGCTGCGTGTAGCCCTTGGCAGCCATGCACATCCCACCTGTTGATGATGTACTCCATGTAGCTGATAGCATCCTCGATTCGCCGTTTCTTGGTGCACAGGATGATCCGGTTGAAGTTGGCATAAACCACTGAAGAGCCAAGACGCTTGAACTCAGCCACTAGCCTACAAGAAGAACACAGGAGCTGCACTGAGCAGCCTGGAGGAACTGCTGCTCTTGAGCTGCCATTAAACAGGGAACAGCAAACCACAGGCCCACATTTGCTTCATGGAGAACATGCTGCTCCAGCACAGCCAGAAGAGGAATGTGTTGGAGATGTCACCTAAGGGAGCTACAACCACAGCATGGCTGCTACTCCTAGAGTGGGACCTACTGTGCCTTCGGAGATCACCAGACCTTTCCAGAGGCTGTGCCAAAGGCGCTCAGAAGCTCTGGATAGGGGTGCCAACAGCATTGCCCTCATGACTACGTCTTTGCTCAACCCACAGGGCACTACAAACTCCATCCTCACTTACTGCAGGAAAAGCTTCTTCATCATGTTGTGCAGAGTGCGGTGCAACGCGGGGTCGTAGAGCAGTGAGGACGGAGAGCGGAGCCAGCGGTAAAAGTGAATCACCTGGTTGTCTGCATAGATGTTGTGATACTGTGTGATCTCCTTCACCCAGCTCACCACCATGCTCTTCAGAATCCTGCCAGGAGCAGAGATGGGCATCACAGCAGGCAGAGGAGCCCTTCCTCCTTCCAGACAGTGACATGTTTGCAGATGATGCTAGAGGAAGGGGGAACTCTGCCAAAGCAGAGATGCGTGAGCCCTCAGCACAAAAGCCACTGGGTAAACATGCCCCCCTATGACCTTGTGGAGCTGAAGAAAGAAGCAGGCAATTTTTTCTAAAGCATCCCCTCACACCTGCTGGCTGAGTCACTAGGTAGATCTGATCCTCGAAGCTGATGGAGGAGACACCAACGGACAAAGCAGGCACTGGCCTCCCTCCCTCTGCCAAGGCAACTTGGAGAGGCTCATCCAGCCAGCAGAAACAGAGAGGCAGGACCCCAAGGGGATGATCAGAATGGAGAACAGCTGCTCCATCTCATGCTGACCCTTCCAGCCATACCTGAAGGTGTTGGAGCAGAGGGCAGTCTCGTCGTAGCTGGCAGGGATGTTGGCAGCTTGGTTCCCTGTCACCATGTCTTCCAGAGACGCCTGCTGGATCACATCAAAACTGATGCTCACGCTGGAACCTCCTTCCATGTCATTGATGTGATGAGACTGCAGCACTGTGTTCACAGCCAGGCTCTGGATATCCAGCTCCAGACACACTGGGAACAAACACAGCCCGTCAACAGGCAAGCAGGGCAGACGGGCAGCAAGGACATCAGCCCCACACGAGGTATGACAAACACACTCACTTTCACACCTAATAAGAGCTTTTTATAAGTGTTCTAGCATATACTGGATGTGTAACATTGAGATATTTACACTGGGAAATGGTAGGATATTCACATTGTGAAATTGGGGCTCCCACAGCTGGCACACATCTTGTTTCACAGGCTTCAAAGGCCACTTTTTGCACATGGCCAGACCTCAGCCAGTCTGGCAGTGCTGCTAGTGCTGCTGCCCTCACTGCACAGCGGAGCTGCACAGTGCTTCCGACAAAACCTGAATCCCTTCCCTGGATGCCCTTCCCCTGGATCCCTGGCTGCCGTCCAGCAGCCACCAAGGTTTCTGGAAACTGCACTGGATGTGCCCAGAGGAACAACCAGTCCCCTTGCTCTGCTGCTTGGAAAGGTTCATCCGAGGGAGACCAGGGGTGATAGTTTGAGTTTTACCACTGGGCCATTTTGTCCTCGTGTCACAGGTACTCTTTCTGAGTGCTGTTATGAGAGGCTGCAAACTGGGAAGGAATCAGGATTTAGATGCCTGCACACATTTTCTAGAGCCTACGGGACCTTCCTTCGCCAGGAGATACCAATGATGCACCCTGCCCAAACTGCTGCTCCACTGCTGAGGCTGCCAGCAGCTGCAGTCAGCGCAGAGCTGCTCAGACGCTCTGTGTCGCTGCATCCGTCCCTCTCCTGTTCTCACGGAAGAGCACTCAGCTCTGTTCGCCCTCAGTGCTGTCCTACCTGTGGAGTAGCAGCCCGGGTTGTTTATCTCCACGGAGGCTCTCTCGTCAAACTCCATGACCAGACGGTTGTCATCAGCCTCCTTGCCCCCCAGGTCGGGACGGGCTGTGGGTGACAGCCACAGCAAATGGTTGTGGCGACGGAGGTGGCGGGAGAAAAACAGGTCCGAGCCAAAGGTGGAAATGTCGTCAGGGAGATTCCCAATGGGGATGTGGTAATACCTGGGGGAAGGAAAGGGAGACAGTCATCATGGGCAAATATATCAATAGAAGAGCTGGGCCAGCATATTTGCTTGCCCCAGCAAGGGGCACAGAAGGTGACGTGGGCTCATCTGGGCCTCAGGCTCCTGCTGTCTCCCTTTCCCACCCATCTAGGAACACCTCCCCAGGGGCACGTGGCCACCACAAGCACCTGCTCATCTCAAAAGCCTGGGACAGGCACGTGTCCAGGTTGAGGTAGTGGCGGATCATGCGGCGGGCAGCGTGGCGCTGCCAGTCCAGCACCGAGTAGCTGATGTCGTCTATTACTCGGACTGGGACCAAGGGGAACTCCTCAATGATGGGAATCCCGCTCGCCAGTCGTTTCAGGTCCCAGTTAGACTGCACAGCGATAAGAGTGGGACCCCGGCGCTCATCCTGCACAAAAGAGAAGAGGACATGTCCTGGGGCACCCCTCCAGTCAGCATCTCTGTACAGCAGGGACAGCATACTCAGGTCTTCTTGAAGCAGTTGCTGCTGAATTACCAGCCCCGCAGTTGAGAGCTGGGGGTAAGACCTACCCTTACTGCTTGCATTGCACTATGCAAGCTCAGGCAATATCCATTTTTACCCTTGAACTTTGCGCCAGCCTTTTCCACAGTCATTTTCTCCTCTGCATTGACGAGGTCTCAGCGAGGACCTTCCTCACGCCTCAGCTCCTACCTTGTAGCCCAGCAGCAGCCGCTGGACGGCCCTGTAGACGGTCTTGAGGTCGGTCTCGGCGCGCACTTCGAAGGTGTGCTTGTCTGGGGGCAGCAGCTCTTCGCCCACCTTTTCCAGCAGAGCGCTGCGCTCCGATGAGTACATGTTGGTGAGGTTTGGCATCTGGTTGCTGCGCACCTGCACCAAACACAGACCCACACAGGGGAGACAGGGATGAAGAGAGACAGGCCCCCCAAATTGCAAGGAAGCTCTTCCCTCTACACACCACCCGGCTTCACACAAGTTTGGGAACAGACCTGCTTGCTACAAACCAGAACCTTCCTAGAATCCCTGCTGCAGAGCAGCACTGAGATCTCTGTCCATGCAAAGAAACTCCTCAGCTCCAAACTGCTGCCTGATGCCCTTATGGTCCCTCCCAGACCTTTACACTCTTACCGTGTCCAGCACAAACACTGCAGCTTTGCGCTGCGAGGGGATGAAGAGGCCGAAGAGCGCCTTGCTGCCCTGGGAGCTGTGGTAGAGGTAGATGTGGCGGATGCTCCCTAGGGACACAGAGCAAACAGGCTGCATCAGGAGCATCGTGGCGGTATTTGGTCCTGGGCACATGGACAGGGCTTCTCTTGGGTGCCTTACCTGGCTCCAGGTAAGTGAACTGAGCCAGCGAGCGCATCTCCAGGTGCTCGATGTCAAAGGTCTCAGCCTCTCGCCCCGTGAGGTGTCTGACAAGCTGCCTGCTGACCATGCACACGCAGCCCAGCTGGACCAGCGCTCGCAGCAGCAACGGCACCTGCGCAGGGCAGACGCTGATGTAAACCTCTGAGAACCTCCTCCCAGGGGTTTCAGACCTGCAACAGCCTGCCCTTAAAGCACAGGCTGCATACAGCCAAGGTGCTTAAGGCACGCGTTTGGCACTGTCACTCCTGTGGGTGTTGAGGCGCAAGAGATACTGGACACAAGAACAGGCATGAAAAAAATAAACCAGAGCATGTGTCCAGGGCACTAGGCCAAAAACCCATGAAAAAAGGCAGAAGAAAAAAAGCTTAGATAGGAGGGTACATGGAGTGAAATTCGGGTGTTCTCAGACCTCACTAACCAGGGGTCTGGCACACCCTGGAGGCGATGGTTTCATGAGAACAACCAGGTAATTGTCTCAGTGGAAATACTGACCTTTTCCTACTCAGGCAATTTCCAACTCTAATCCTATGGTGTATTTTCATAATGAATTCACCTGACTATTTTCTTTAACATACAGCTCCACTCTTAAAACCTTGCAACTTACTCTGCCACTTCTATATTGGTTGAGTTCTGACACTACAACATCTTCTTATATCCCTGCCACCAAGTTTTGAGCTGCTTAACAAATCTCTGTCTTTGGAGATAAAATAAAAGAAGGCATGGCAGCTGCCCATCTTCGTTTCAGATTTCTAGCATTAGAAACATTGATAAATTTGGTCTCGATCTCACTGCTTTTGTATGTGTACTACAGAACTAAAACATTCTCTAGGTTTGTGTCTGCTCTTTCTGAACTTTAAAATAAGTTGTATCCTATTTCTTCTTTCTGGATTACAGAGCTTTTATACCTGTACTTTAGAAGATGGGGCACTCTGGCCTACAAAATATGCCGCATGTTTGGGCTTTCCCCATCTTTCTTTCCCATAACAGTGCAGTTTGCAGTTTAATTGCTAGGAGGATGGTTCTGGTTTGATTTAGATGAAATCAAACCCCACTCTTCCTGCTCAAGTGTATTATTTTCCCAGTTTTAGTATGAAATAAATCTGAAACTGTTTCCCTAACACATTACAAACTGAACGAGCAGCTGGTATTCTGCTCTTCTGCTCATACGAAACCTGGCACATTCCTGAGACAGCTACTACAGAGGGTCTTTCATTTTCATATCCTACTACTTTGTTTAATTTTGAGCTTCAGTGCCTCTTCCTGTGCCCTGGGTACACAGACCAGCTACCACTCAGCACTCCTCAAGAACGAGGAAGGAAAGTGAGTGGTGCAAGCCTTACCTGAGTCTCATACACGCCCTCGATGTCCGGAGCAGATAGGTCTGCATTGATTTCGTTGATGTGCTCTTGGTACATGTCTTCAGGGACTGAGTATTCGTAGAGATTGTAGACTAAGTTTGAGCGGGGTAGGATCCTGTTCACCTGCCGGGAGATGGACATGCTTAGCAGGGCACCTTGCTCCAGCATGAGCTCTCATCAGGCTGCAGGGAGTTGTAGCTTGAGCCAGCTCTACATTCCCGGAAACCTGCTGATCCAGGAGACCACCCAGCTGCCAGCGCTGGTCCTTCCTAAGGCAGTACGGGGATTTATGCTTTGTTCATATTGCAAATTCCAAATTGCAACCTGCTTTCTGGTCAGGTTGGGGACAGCAGCAGGGACCAGGGACTAGATTAAGGGGTATCAGCAGGGCTGGACAGCACAACCCTGTGAAGCAGATTGTCCATAGTATGCGCTCGCAGTGGCCAGAGTAACTTATATAAATCCAACCAGCTTTTCCCCCTTGTAGGAGTAGTGGGGCTGAAGATATGACCCCTACCTTCCTGTACACAGCTCCCTCCTCTGCTTTCGCGATGCGCTGGTTGACGTAGAACACCCTCGGGATGTTCAGCTTGATGCAGTGCAGGTCGCTTCCAATCACTGCCCACAGCCTGAACAGGCCAGGCTGGCTGGTCTCAGCAATCTGCAGGGGAGAGGGATTTAAGCTCACTTTGGTGGAGAGCTGCAACCCATTCTCAGCTTTACATACAGGCCAAGAGCTTCTTGGACCTTCCAAGTCTGCACTGTCTATGGGCTTGCTCCTAAAATAAGGAATACTTGATGACAAAGACAGCCATGGACCCAAAGATTCACTGCTTACAGTTCTGGCCTCACCACTCGGCTATTGTCCTACAAGTACCATGGAGAAAGTTCTCCTGTCAGAGGAAAGAGCATGAATGCAGCTAAACCTGACTAATCTGCAGGTAGCACATTGCATCGTGCCTCTGAGGGGAAGGTATGGTATGGAAAAAAAGACCGGTATGAGTCCAAACATGTCTCTCAGCCTTGGGCTAACATTAGCCAGCATATTCAAGCTGGCATTTAACTTAAGCCAAACTGTTTAGACATGCTGGATTAGCTGCTCCATCTCAAGCTCAAGGCTACACACACAAAGGCTGCACGTGACCCTCGACAATACAAGATCTTTCCAGAAAATGAGAAGAGTGACATCAGGGGCTGGATCTCCTATAGTAGAGGCAACCAAGCAAAAGATGGATGTAATAAAATGCTTGGACGGTAGCACTCGCAACCTCTTCATGCTTGCATTAGCTCTAGGATTCAAGGCTCAAGGTCCTGAGCTTATCCCATATTGCTTCTACACAGACATCTGGATTTGCAATCAAGCACAACCGTTTGAGGATTTCATTTCCATACAAAGCACCTCTGAGCTTGAGCTCCTGGAATGTAAAACTAAAGTATGACTGAGTTAGCTGTCCCTGAAGGTCTGTTTGACCACAGATATCGCAAACCTGAGGTTTAGGGCCCTGAGTTGTCCTCCCAAAGAGAGAGGGGAAGCATGAGCCCGTCTCGCTGGCTGGTACCTGCACGATTTGCCAGGGCAAGTCGAGGATGCTGCGCGCTGTCCGGCGCAGGTAGCTGCTCAGCCCTTTGGACAGGGTGTTCCCACTTCTTCTTGTGGTAGCGCAACCAAACCAGATGCTCCTCCTGAGCAGAGTCAGCCAGTGAGTACGTGAGCAGGAACCACAAAAATCAGCACCCATTTCCCATACGTGAGCAGCCAGCACCATAAGGTAAACCCTTTCCACCTCCAGCTGCTGGCAGAGCCAGGAAACTGCCATTGGGCCCTGTTTTCTCCCTTAGTGGGACTCTCCCAGGAATATTTCCCTTTGGAGGTCTGAGCCTCAGACGCGCAGAGGGTTTCAGCAGACACACAGCTTGCTACACCCTCTACCCAACGTGTCTGGGCAGATGATGACACTCCTAGGATGCTCCTGCTTCCTCCTGCCCAGCCTCCTTCCCTTACCCTAGTAGTGCCCATAGCAGGAGGTGGGCCCAGGATCTCTCGCCAGGATTGGGACAGTTCCAGATACTGGGACATCTGTTGGCTTTCCTCGGCCACAGGGACCCGCTTCCGCTTGTGTGCGACCGCAACCAATGGCTGAAGGGTCTTGGCAGACCCAAAATCCTCTATGTCACCAATCTGGGAGCTGGAAGGTCCCTGCTGGGGCTGGTTAGCAAGGACCTGAGAGAAACGAAAGAAGGTTTTGGGGGCTGAAGCCAGTCCCAGGAAAAGAGGTCCGTGTCTGCCAGCTCCTTTTTCTCACTCTTATTACCTGTCTCTTGCCTTCAGAAGTGAAGAGCTCATTGATTTTCTTTTGCTTATACACATCATTCTTCTCCAGGAGTTTCTTGTGCAGCCAGTCGGGATGCCGGACTCGTGGGACTGGGTTCTTTACCTGGAGAAAATTGTGAAATCACCCCAGATATCCCCAAAGTCAGTGCCCTTTGCTTTTCCTCCCAGCACCACAAACCTGCATCCCTCCTGTCCCAGCTCGTCCCCTACCTGCTGCAGTGCTGCAGGGATAGTGATGATTTTCTGGATGGTGCTGCCCAGTCTCTCAATGTAGTAGTCCCAGTCCAGAATCTGTGCGAGAGGCAGAACAGCAGCAGAGAGTGAAGGAAACGCAGCAGAAAGGTGTCACTCTGAGCTCTGCGGGGAGATGTTTCCCCGGGGACTCTGCGTTGTGAGACCCAGCGGGCCGCTCCGCGGAGCGTGGGGCCGTGCTGCTCCCTGGGGCTCCACTCACCGCCCGGATGTCGAAGTCCTGCAGCGAGGGGCTCTTCAGCCATTTCCGGAGGTAGTGCTTCCGCACGCCGGGCTCCGCTTGGAAGATGGCGAGGGGGATGGCCCTGGAGAAGGGAGGGAAGTGCCAAACAGCTCCCCAGCAGCCCAGAACCCCGTCATCCTGGCCTGCAGGTACCTCTCTGGGCTTCTCCTCTCACCCTGGTGCTGCAGGCACTTGCACAGCACTTCATCACTACAGTCTTATTTTACAGTCGAAGCCACTAAACAGGCCATCACTTGGTTAGGTCACATCAGCTCATCCATCTGTTCCCTTCACACCTTGCCCAAAATCCCGGCCCCTCGAGACAGATTTACCTCTCTGTGACTGGAGACCCTTCGGGTTTCTTGGAAATGATGAACCGGCAGCTTAGCCCTGCATCCTTCACCATCTGGTCTCCCAAGAACTCTGCCAGGCGCTTGGCAGTGCTGATGGATGTGGATTTCTGCTCCCCATAATCCTCCAGCTTGCGAGACATAGACCGGTTCTCCGAGATCAGCTCAAACAGCTCTGAATCAGGCATGTTGGCAGCCTGAAAGAAAGAAGAATGAAAAAAAAATCTACTATCAGGCACCTAATAATCAAACCTCACCACTGTTATATACAGGGAACATCTAAGCCAATTCACATAGCTGTCCTTAGGAAGGGTGTGTGAACAAGTCTCCATTCAAGCTGACAACATGACCCGTGGAATAGAGAGGACACGGGGCCTGTGTCAGAGTTCGTGCTGTGAATGCAACACTCTGTGCCCCTGGTGCTGCAGCATTGGGCTCTCCAAGGGTTTGCAATAGGGCATTTCAAAGTGGAAGCGCTCCCAAGGAACTGCCACACAGGGTAGTGTTCCCTGCTTCTGATCTCTCCTGCTCCCCAGTTGCTGAGGCTCTGTTTTCTGGCAATATCTCTGCTCTTGCCAGTTATTTTAAAGATAACCTCTCTGGGCTGCTCAGAAAACATTGCAGGCAAGTGGCTCAGTGAATGGCTTAAGAGAAAATCCTTGGAGGAGGGCCATCAAAAAAGAGGGGGCTGCGGGATGATGCTTATGCTCAGTTGAGCAGTACCAGCTGAAAAAAGTGCTATAGGACAAGCCACTGGAAGAGCCCTTGTGCTAAAAGCCCCTAAATAGTAGCCCTAGAGAATCAAAGAGGCTGAAATTAGATGGGAACAGTCTGAGGCACAATGGACCAACCACTCTCTGCTGACAAAACACAACCCTGCAGCATTCAACTAGCTTTGACATTGCTGTGTATGCCCTGCCAACCCTGCACTCACCTTGCTGTACAGCACATCCAACCAGTAATCAGCCACCTTGGCTACAGAAGCATAGACCTCCTCCAGGGTGGTGCCTTTCAGAAAGGCCTCAAACACGGAAGACTGGAAGATCTTCACCAGCTGCAGCTCCCCCCGTCGCTTCACCTCGAAGCCCTTCAGTTCAGCCAAGGACCCGTCTTCGTTGAAGACCGCGTACCTAGGAAATAGAGCTGGTGCTAAACTTAGCCCGTGCCACGAAGAACATGGCCTGGGATGCTGCTCACTGCCCTCCTACCAGGGTACTTCTGGTAGTACCAAGCTTGGCAGCCAGCAGTAGGTTAACCTAAGCTGTGGTGCTCTCTGTGAGGGGATCTAGGGATCTTTACACAGCTGGGGGCCATAATATTATCAACTCCAACTGCAGAAGCACTTGTGCCTCCAGGGGCCAATACCAATGGCAGAATGTTCTTAAATGCACACAAATAAGGGCCAGGAAGTGAGACTCAGGGTTAGAGGAGTGGAGAAATGGAGTGAAATATTACAGACAGCCTTATAGAGGAGAAGGAAATTTTTCCTGTTTGGAGGTCTGTGAGCAGCCCTCCTCCCAGAAGGGATTAAAGTGGAAACCTCTGGGAGAAGTTTATAGGTCTGTGGACTAGGTCTGAGAAGTCTATAGGTCTGTGAACTTCTGAAATGGACTGGCAGGGACGGGTGAATTTAAAGACAAGAGATGAAATACAAAGTGAGAATATTTCGAGTTTTGAACTCTTACCTTTTCTTCAGCTTCTTGCCCTCCTCCTTGGAGGCCGGGAGGATCATGGCCAGGTATGGCCCATCCACTTCAAAGAAGATGCTGTTCTCTGAGCGTGTGACATAGGTGAGAGAGGCTGGGTCCTCCAGCTCCTGGTACTGATCGTTTGTGAAGCCTTCCTGCAGGCACAACCCCAAGAGAACAGCTTCATTTAACAGCTAATAATCAGACTGATTACTGGGTTTGATTGACTATCAAACCGATAGGCCGATCCTATCAGGAGATATAATTCCCTCAGACACATCCTGTCTGAAGGGATCACTGAGGGCCTCTGTCTCTTCCGGATGATGGGAAAGATCAGTCCCTGCTCTCCTGATGGAACAGGTTATTCTCCAGGATAGATTCTCCATCTCTGCTAAGTTGGGATAAGTTGTCTTGATTTCTCAGGAACAAGCAACTCTTTGGAAAGCTGCAGAACAATTTAGCAGGCAGGACTCCAAGGCCCCAACATTCTGCTCATTACACAAGGGACCAGAGACAGAGGAGAGGGCTGAAACCAGCCATCCTCTGGGCTGAAACCCGCTCCCAGGGCAGAGATGGGTCCTCCACTGTGAGGAGAGTTACACCATTCCCAAGAACTGCCCCGCTGGCTTGCGGGCCTACTGAAGAGCAAAACACTTTCCTTGTTGCTCTGTTTACACCAAACTGTAGAGCTGGCCTGTATGGATGCCAGACTCACCTTCACGAGGATGTTCAGCATGGCACCTGGGTAGGAGATGGTCACCTTGGGCTTCTTTGTGTTGGTTGACTTGATGACAAAGTTTTCTGGGAAGCTGTTAGGAAGGACACACCAAATCCCATCTGTATCCAATTCCAGAGGTCTCCTAAGAGAGGAAGCAAAGAATGATTCTCAGGAAGAGACTGAAAAATATGCTACAGAAAAGCTCTGTCCCCATTCAGGCAGGGACAGTGTCCATCCTACAAAAACAAACTAACGAAAAAACCCCCTCTTAATACAGCTGCTGTTGTATTAATAAACCACAGCAAGGTCAGAAATTTGAAACTCCAACTTTAAACCCAGAGCTCTGAGTGATTAATGTTCTCCTACATCTGTCCTAGGGGTCCTCTTCTCTGCCAGTCAAATTCTGCCCTTACCCACCCCTTGCGCTGGGCGCAGAAGGCCCTTTCTTCCCCAGCCCAGCACCTACTCACCCGATCTGCTCAATCAGCTCCCTAGCCTGTGTGATAATATTTGCTCCGGTGAAGCAGACGATCCCAGCCATTTCCATGGAATACCAGCGAGCCCTGTGAACGGAAGAGTGAAAGTTGGGAGTACGCAGCGCTCCCTCTCGCACATAGCTGTGCCCAGGGTGTAAGGACATCCCGAAAGAAAGTCTCGGTGAAAAAGGTGTCATTAGTAAGAGCCAAAGAAGAGTGTTACAGGGATCACCCATCCTCCCCGTTGTGCTTCAGAAGGTGACGGCTTCACTAGAACAATTCCATTTCACAAGGCTCCTTCCTAGAGGACTCCCGCAGTGACGGCAGGCGAGACTCACCCTTTGCGCATGACGTAGCCGTAGAAGGAATTGAGGATGCACTTGTGTGCCAGCTGCAGGGAGTCGTAGAGGATTTCCATGTTCTTGCAGCGCTTCACTTCTGAGGCATCTCCTGTCTCCGCGGCTGCAGCCAGCTTCTTCTTCCACACCTGACGGCAAGGGACAGAGTCAGGACAGCCCTATATTCCCCTACATGCAGTATTAATATCCAGGTACAGGTATGCCCCCACCGGCTCAATCCTAATATCTCATTACCATCCTATAACATTTCAATCTCCTCCCTCTGCCACGCGACTCCTACCATTTGACACCTAGAACACGTTTCTTCTTCCTTTTCCTAGAATCAATCATTTCTTAGCCTGAAGTCTAGATTTTGTTTCTCTGTTTGTCTTATTTTCTTTGTTTGAAACATGTCCCATACTGAACACAAACCAGATAACTACCTTGTGTCCTGCCACAATACTTGAGTAGAGGATTTTCTCAATCTAACGGAAGCCAGAAATACAGCCCTTCTGTTTCCCACCACTGAGAGTGCTTGCCCCATGGAGCTAGCAACCACTGTGGCAGGTGCTTGAGCAAGATTCAGCGATGAAAAAACCTGCACTTGCATCAGAGCTGTCAGGAAATACATTATTTCTTATTGAATACACAGACTGAGCAAAATGATCCTCTAGGGTTCAAGTTTTCAGGGAGAGCAGAGAACCTCCTAGCTCTGGCAGGACGAATAAACCAGCAATTCAAGCCCAGCACCTTATGCAGCCCCTTGAACTCATAGCGGCGGTCTCTGAAAGCTCGCACGGTGTCCACGTAGAAAGAGTTCTCACGCTGGCAGATGGTGGTGACGCGCTCCTCCACCTTGGTGACATGGATCTTCTTGTAAGCCTTGCGGCAATAGTCTAGTCATGGGGAGAAACAGAGAGGTTGCTCAGAGATCAGTGCCCACTGTGATGGGGAGGATGAACACAGTGGCAACAGGGCACAGAGCTGAGCTCAGATTTACTCTGAGCCAGCAGGAACTAAGCAGCCTCAAATTTGAGAAATAATTAATGGTGTGCTCGTAGTTTAGCAAAAAAACATCTCCAGGCAATGCCATTTATTTCACCTGCCAGTCGCTTCTTCTCATATTTGGCCTGTTCTTCACGGGAAAGCTCGTGGAATGCCCGGGCTGCTCCATCCGGATACAGGGGAGGAAACTTCTCAGACTCCAGCTGCTGCTGGATGCGGTGATACTCGCTGCGGCTTGCAGGCACTGCAAAGGAGGGACAACTCTGGGCTTTCCAGAGGAGGAGGAGCAGCAAGAGGTCTCTAACTTCACCTCCAACTACAAGGTCTATCCGTGCTGCAATGCAACGGGAAACTTGGGGGCAGAGAGCAGAACTGCACTTACTGAATTCTCCTCTCCATTGCCATGTCATCCGGCGCTGACAATTGGCACCTGGCTTATTGAAGTCGCAGGCAGCACATGTGGCCTCATCCACCATGGCTGAGGGCTGGATACACATCAAAGACACAATACACTTCTGTTAGAGGAAACATCTCTATTTCCAAACAGCAACATAGGCCAGAACGAATCAGGTGTTGGGTTGTAAAAGAGAACGAACGTGAACATCACAGAGGTCATGTTCAGTAATTTTTCCTTTCTAGAAGCTTTTGGGAACACAAGTTACAGAAAAAACAATCACTCTTCTTTGGAAGAGACCAACTTACGCTATCGCTCTATCCTGGCCAGACCTTTCTGCACGCTTGGCTACTGGGGCAGCCTGCCTGTATTTTAAACCCATATACTCCTGCCCACAGCAGAAAATTCACTCCTTGCTGCTAAGGGGATCAAATCAGAAGAACAACCTAGATCATCTGTAAGTCAAAGCAGGAGACACATTCCTGACTGCACTGATGTCACTCACCTGCAACCTGTTGGTCAGAATGATGTTGGGGTACATGGCCCCCACATCTAAGTGGTAGATAAGGGGACACTCGATTCGGTTAGGAACATCCTTCAAAGAATTCAGCTTCACTTTGATTTCATCGCAAACCTGTGGCAAAATGTTAAAAAAATAAGGTTCAAAAAGAAAAGAATTAATGATGCAATACAGTATATGCTGTATTTTGCCTCCAGCCTCTGCCAGCTGCTTATTAATGTGGGAAATAAGGCAGAGATGTCCATGTAGCAGAACTCAGAGCTGAAGAAAGCCATTATACAACCCTAATACTTGTGCACAGGGCACAGGCTTGCCTGAAGATACCTCTGCAACTCCACCGTGAGGGTTCGGCTCCCTGGGCACAGCCAGCCATGCCCCGGCCGCAGGCCGGGCTGGCGCCACGTACCTCCTGGAAGTTGGTGACTTGATCCAGTGGCAAACCCTCCTCCTCCTCGATAGCGTGCCGCAGCGTCTTCTCCACGTGCTGCACCAGGAAGTCAAAGGCAGCAGGATTCTGCAAGGAGATGGGAATGGGAGCGAGCCCTCTGCTAGCCGGGGCGGCCATCCTCACACACTGCCCAGACAAGGCGTGGGTGACAGACACCACTGGATTATCCATGTTCTAGGGTACCTTCAGGAATATTGGAACACAGGCTCACTACCTAGGACATTTCTCAGTATGGGTAGAGAGCAGTTCTCTCCATTCCTTAACGCGGGACATTAATTCCAGTAGATTATTCCCTACTGCTATGTGCTCCAGAGAGATGGGGAAGAGGATCATTGCCCTGCCATTTTAAAGCCTCCATTGCAACACCCTGATCGTGCCCTTACCATTTTAAAGCGGCAGGGGATGTCACTGCGAAAAACCCCGGATTCCAGAGCTTCTACGTGGCCTCCTACATACGTCTCCGAGTCCAGCACGTGGCCGTCATCTGTTAGTTTGTTGAACTCCTGCTCCTGCTTGTTGGGGAAGATGATGTTGGCGTGATAGGCCTGAACCATCAGCAGGGCCTCACACAGTGTCCCAGAACCTTTCCTTAACACCTATAAGAGACAGACATCAAAAACTGGAATTAGAAAGAAGTGCTGTACAGGGTACTGCTGGAATTAGGCTGAAATGAAGTGTTTGAACTGATGTCCAACATGAAGTGTCATTCAAGCAACATCGCAGCCCCAAGCAGGAAATAGCACAGTGAGAAAACATAATGATCTCCTTCACTCAGGCTGCACATAATGGAGAAACAGCCATGGCTGCTGTACTGTGAAAAGAAATTTATTTGGAAACTCCTTCTCTCCTTACCTGACAAAAAGGCACCAAAGAATCAGCTCTGTTGCCAGTGTATTGCTGCTGCATGAAGGATGCAGCAATTTGCTCAGAAAATAAATTGTTTGAGGGAAGCACTCACCTCATCAGGCTCCATGGGAATGATGGTGCACAACGCGAAAATGAAAGGGTGCACGTACTTCATATACATGTAATAGGTAGCAACTGCATCAGACACTGAATAGGTGGCCAGAGTCTGAGAAAGAGACAAATTAATCCCAGTTTACTTAATAAGCAACAGCATTATCAATGATAATAACCCTTCATTCATTTTTTTCTGTAAGGCATCCAGGAGGATGCCCTGGCTCAACTTCTCAAAGACCACTGCACCAAGCAGAAGTGTTTCATAAAGCTCTAAGTCTAAGGTTTGGCAATAGAGCAGATTGCTGGAGACACAGCACAGGGTGGGAATACCTGCGGCTCCTCCATAGCCATCCGGCACATCTCCTCAGGGTCCAGCTCCACTGGGTCATAGCCCAGTTTTGCTTTTGCTGCTGCTTTCAGGTTGTGGCTTCCCACTGGGAGGTAACTGTCTCTCTTCACCCACCTAGGCAGAGGGAGGAAGATGTCAGTCTACGCAGAAATAGCCCTGCACTTTGGAAAGGGCTGAGGCACACAGAAAGGGTTTTTGACTGCTAAAACAGGAAAAATGAGAGCAGAACATCAAGGACTGTGGAAGAGCAGGCTACACAGCTCTAGACATTCTGCATATCTCTCAAGCTCCGGCTATTACAAACTCTGCTAAATCCTTTCAATCGCTCAGATTTTTCTCAGCCTGCGTACTCCAAACACTTAAAGACAAATATTTTTCTGATTTTTTCTGAATCCCACACTGGTCTAGTGGGAAAAACATTAATGTCATAGTCACAGCTTCCAAGGTGGTCAGCCCTCTCTAGCACACGCTCATGTATGTGCCCTTCCTTTTTCTCTCCATGCTAGGCAGGTTGGTGAGTTACAAGATGATCCCATTTTCAAGCAACAGCTCGATCTTATTCCGTCCTTTTATCTGCTACCCAGGCCAGCTCTCAACCCCGCAACTACAGCCACCAGCTGACTGCACAAACAGCATTTTTATATAAGTTTAATTACAGGCTTTTTATAAAAAATTTAATGGATAACAACACAGTTACACGGTACAATGGTAGCATGAGGTACCTCAGACAATCCATGTGGATACACTGTGGTGCTTTGTACTCCCCCTGACTGTCCTTCTGAAATCCGATCTCCTGATACATATTAATTCCATGAGCTGCTGCTCTTGCTTCCACAAAAGGCCTGGGGAGAAAAATAATGTGGAAAAGAAGGAAGAAAAACAGTCACTTTCCTTTACTCGTCACAGTGGTTTCAGAATTGCTCTTTTATGAGCTATTTAATGAAGACCTTTTCCTTGTGAACTCTCCTTTGTTCCAGACCTTATCTGCGATATCTGGCCAGTGAAAACACCCTGCAGAGCAGAACTACCACGTGAAAGAGGCAGTGAAGCTGCTTGCCCCAGTGCTATATCAGGAGGCACCACTTTATCATCCACCTTCCCTTGCTTTTTGAAGGGATGGCTGCTCCAGGCTCTATTATTTCAGGGTTCTCCTCAACCCTTTCCTTGTCCTCAGGACATGAACACAGCTCTGCTCAGAGAAAGCGTTCCAAGTTCCACCTCTTCCACCTCCCCATCTTCAAAGGTCCTCTACAGGCTGGAGTCCAAGACTCAGCCTAGCACCCTGGATGCAGGGCATGTAATCAGGACGTGAACGGGTACCCAAACTACATGGATAGCACAGAGAAGAGCACATATGGCCCCCCTGTCAGCTCTGGACAAAGGACACTACGACTGGTATCCGATTTTGCCCCATAGACCAGGTAACATTTCCGCTTTAGAAATCAGGTTAATTTTCATTCCTGATCTTACCAGTCAAAAAAGTCTCCGTTGTAGGTGACAATGATGGTAGGTTTGGTCTCCTGGACATGTTCAAACCACCTCTGGATTAAATGAGCCTAGGATACAACAGAGGGATACATAATGCTCCACAGCTTCACCTCCCACATGCAGAATCACTGGATGAAATACAATTTTCACAGTCCTTCCCCTTTGCTCTTGACCTAGCTGGAACCTGATCTATGTTATCATTACACCACGAAACAAAAGCACCACCACCCCTATGATGGGTGATAAGCTTTCTTTGACCTAAAAAAGAGAAAAGGCAGATAAGAGGTAGCCTCATTTCTCCAGCAGAATCTTCTTACCTCATCTGGTTCATTAAAGACAGAGAATGGACCCTCGTACTCCGGCTTGGGAGTAAATTCAAAGTCTTCAATATCCTCGGAGACAATTTCCCTGTTTGTGATGAGGTAGCCCTAGGAATTTGACAGGGATAATGTTACCGAGTACTCACAACCCTGCCATGCCACGGACAGGTCTCCAGGCCACCAGAACACACTGTCCTAAGGATGAAGCACTCTTCCATGGATGTGATAACCCTTGCACGGCCTGACAGCCAGAGCTTTTGTCAGGTGCACACAAGCAGCTGGAAGTCACCTTCTGAACAACTTCTTACAATAAACTAAGGAGGCCAAAGGGAAACATCTTAAGACTATGTTCTCCAAATTACTATTGCTCTCTTGAAGCAGTCACAGGAGCCTTAGCTGAGTTCCACAACAAACAAAACCAGGACATTTTTATGCACCATTAAGACTTCAATTTTATGTTCACAGCTGTTAATGCAGACCAAGCAGCTGGCAGTCAAGCAAGCCTGGAATGAGGTGGCTGAAGGTGGTGTGTGGGTCTGTCGCCTAGTACGTCGCTCTGAAGCGTGAAGAAAACAACTGTTGTTCCCTTACCTGCCCATCAATCATGTAGGAGATCATCATGATCTGGTCTGTCTCCGCATCAGGAAACTTCAAAGGGAGTTTAGTAGTTTCAATGTCAAAGGCGAGAACAACAGGATCCTGAGTATGACCAAACACATCAACCTCAAGTCAGCTGGAGAGTATGACTTAAAGAGCAGTACCCATTAAGCTTGCTAGGCTCAATGCTAGCACAGTACTTCATACCTTTCTTGATAATGATTTTAGAATGTGCCTTATCAATCCAAAGTAAAAAAACACTACCCAAGTCCCTAAACAAAACTTGCTCCATGACCGCTGTGATGTAATGCTAGTCACCTCCTGAAAATGAGGGCCCAGCTTCCTGGGAGGCAACTGCTAGCTGCAAACAAACCAGCCACGTGCAGGCACAGCCTGACTCCTGCCCGATTCACACTCACCGGGCGCTCCACAAGGTCATCGCGGCGGGTGATTTCAGGGGGGTAAACGCTGCCCCGGTACCGCACGTTGTACCAATGAGCCTGTCACAGGGAGAGGGAATTGCAAAAAGTGCATTAATGTGAGGCGTGTTGCCAGGGATTACTTTTGTTCACATACTGGGGACAGAACCTCATGAATTAACTGTAATTCTGGGGAAAGACACCAACTGTGGATATACATCAGATTATCTAACTTTTTTGTGTGTCAGTAACCGGAAAAAGGCTCTGCAGTAATGGACTAGATGTCATAGATTAACTCATTATCCCAGAATCCTTTGCACAGGTTCTGGAAAGACAAAATATTTCCACCATACATGCACTTCAAGAACACAGCAGTAGGAAAATGACTGTTCTAAGCTTCTCCTGGCTTCCACATTTCTTACTCACCACGTGGATCTTCAGGTCAATGGACAGGCGAATATGGTAGGGTACATCATACTCCCGCATGTCCACAATGTTGTCCATTTGGTTGGCAACCTTTTTGGTGGGTCCCTCATCGTCTGTGGTGAGGCTGCCTCCAGCGAGAGCACTGCAAGCAGAGGAAAGCAGCTGGTGTCACTAAGCAGGCTTATGCACAGCTCGGACATAGCAAGCTTGACTGTAGGAGACAACATACCAACAGTCCGCGTGACTAAGGGAACCTTGTTAGGCCCATGGGTCAGGCACCCTAAGGAGACCTCTTACCTCGACAGCATTGATGTATAGACGTCGTTTGCCTGGTCTCGCTCTCTGTTTTTCCTCACAGCAGGAGAGATCTCTTTCCGCACCTTCACCAAGTCATCCACCGTGTTGAACGACAGCTTAATGTAGTTCCGCTTCAGACCCACCAAGTGATTTGGCTACAGAGCAACAAGAAAGGTTCAACTTGAGGCAGAATCAATATTCAAAAGCACAGCAGGTAGAAAAACACTGACCAGGTCCAAGTCTTCTTTGGGGATGGTCTCCAGCTTTGAAATTTTTCCTTGAAACTTCTTGGAGAGGAAGGAGGACACTTCTCGCTCACAGCCCTACAAAGAAAAGGCAGAATGAGCAACACAGCCAGCCACTTTAGCAGAGGAGAAGACAGAGTGGACATTTACCCCTGTTTTGATTTAGGGGTAGTAAAATGGGACAAAAAAGGAACAGAAAAAAAATGTGACGGGTCCTTGAAGGGAGAACTCAACGTGTAGTGAACCAACCCCTCTCTAGAAACTTTGATGGGGTCAGGGTATGGGCACAGCTGCTTCCCCACCCTGGTCTTCTCCAGCAGCTCTGCCAAGCCCACCGACAGCTGCACCATAGCTGTGTTTTTCTCCCACCAACCCAAGAGGACCTCAAGGCCTCCGGGCTGCCTGGGGCAGCCTTTATGCCAAAGCTGCCTCATTTGGGCCTATGCAAGACCCCTCTTACCAGCGTGCAGTTCCCAAGCCCACACTTGCCTTCTGCGTGGCCACATAGAAGTAGGGCTTGTAGGGCAGGGCCACCTAGGAGAAAGCAGAGCCGGGCAACCGTGAGCAGCGCGGGAGCCGCAGCCCTGGGCA